ATGTCTGAGAACTCTGCTATCTCTGCTATCTCTACAATCTATGTTGAGTCACATGATCAGAATTAAGAAATTAAGGATAATTTCAAACCGTAACAATGTTACCTTTAAGATTAATAATTTAGAACTAATTATTTCCTATTTTATTATTAATTTATTTGTAATTCGTTAAACTTCAATTATATATTTAAATGTATCTGTTCTGTACTATAATTCTTTAGATCTTTTCACTATTTAATAAATAAAGAAATAAGCTTTATTAAAATTAAAACTGAAAACTATCTTAATTAATATAATTTATTTATAAAAATTAATAAATTTATCTTAATATTATTCATGTAAGAAAGTATTTTTATAATCAATAATGAAAAATTATTTAAATATTGTAAAAATTTAACATTATATTTTTTAGAATAATAAAAACAAAATTTTTTAAGATCATAAAGTATATTAATATAGTAATATTTTGTAAAATTATATGTTAAAAATAGCAAGCTTAAAGTTATTCTAGTTAAAGAACTATAAAAAATTATTTATAAAGATTTTTTATAAGTAAATATGTAAATAATTTTATAAAAATATATTTAAAGATATAAAAAATATATTTGTAATTTAAAAAAAATTTTAATTAATATTTATTGAATAAATACCAATTAAAAAGATTTAATTTTAATAAATTTTATAATAAAATATAATAAAAATATTATTTTATTATATTTATTATAAAATTAAATCTTTTTTAACTAATATATATTCAAAAAAAATGCAAATATATTTTTTATGTTTTTAAATATATTTTTATAAAGATTTTTTTTATATTATTACTGATTCAAAATATTATCATCAATTTAATATATGAATACGTGAATAGAAGATGTAGTTATAATAAAAATTAGTCATAATAATATTTTAATTATGCATTTAGTTTGATAACTTTCTACTTCTTTCTATTTCTTTTTATTTTCTTCTTTTTCTTTTTTGTATCACTTATTTTTCTATATTTATTTCATTGTTATTTTTATTTGAATATATTAATTACATCATTTTCTTGACAAATTTATTATTTTCTATTTTTGCTATTGGTATTTTAATATGGAGCAAGATTATTAATTATAATTTAGTTAAATTCTGTGTAATTTAAAAGAGAATTAGTAATTTTGTAATATTAATAAATTTATTATGTCATATATGATGTTATAACTATATCATATTGTATTATACTATGTATTACTATATCACATTGTGTCATTATAACACAAAAATATGTATAAATACAAGTGCTGATAATTAATAAAAATCAAGTTTTTCAGTTCTAGTTTTAAGTTTTTAAGTTTGATTTTAAGTTTCTTTTAGTTTAATATTGAGTTTAACATATTAAATTGATTTTATTTTGAAATTAAAAATAGTTTTTGGTTAAGTTTTTCTTTTTAGTTTAGTCTTGTTATTAGTTTATTTTTATTATTATCATCTTTTATCTTATCAAAAAACATTATTCTATTATTATAAATACTATTTAGTTATAAAATTCAAAGTAAATTATTATGAATACAGTTACTATTGCCATTTTGAAATACTTTCATATGTAAAAGCTCAAAATAATAATAATATTTGCTTATAAAAAATATTTATAAATAATTTTTTATAGTTTTTTAATTATAGTATTCTCCAGTTTATTATCTTTAATATATAATTTTACAAAATATTATTATATTAATATACTTTATAATCTTAAAAAATTTTGTTTTTGTTATCTTAAAGAATATAATATCAAATTTTTGTGAATTTTTAGCAATTTTTTATTAAGTTATAAATAAAAAATATATTTGTTATTACTTTTTATATTGATTGTAAAAAAATTAATTATCACCTTTTTTTATTTAATATTAATATTTTTTTTAATTTTATTATAACAAATTTTAGTATAATAAATATCTTATTAAATTTATACTATAATAAATTTTTATCTTAAATATAATATAATTACTTGATAATATTATATTTCTTTTTTAATATATATTAATATAATTATTTAATTTTTATTAATTATTATTTATATATTGATCTATTATAAATTATTATATATATAAAAATTTTAATAGTAAAATATAATAAAAGTTAAAATTTTCATTTTGTAAAAAAGTTTTATTTTAATTAATAAATATTTTTTGTTTTATATAAAAAAAACAATCAGAAATAATGCAATAATATCAAAATTTATTAATTAAATGTGAATTTTTCTCTTTATATAAAAGTTTTTAATTTTACTAATAAATATTTTTTATTTTTATATTAAAATAAAGATAATATTATATATTTTAACCTATATTTTTTTCAAATTTTTTAGATTTAATCTGATAAAGTTGTTCTAATTGTATATAAAGTTAATTATTTTTAATTAAAATATATAAAAAAATAATTAATTTTCTATGCAATTAGAATAGCTTTATCAGATTAAAATCTGAAAAAAATATATATTAAAAATATAATATTATCTTATTTTAATATAAAAATAAAAAATATTTATTAGTAAAATTGAATACTTTTATATAAAGAAAAAAATTTGTATTTAATTAATAAATTTGACATTGTTATATTATTTCTGATTGCCATTGTATTTTGATATAAAACAAAAAATATTTATTAAAACTTTTTACAAAATGAAATTTTGATTTATAGTACAGTTTCCAGTGAAAGTAATAGCAAATGTGTTTTTTGTTTATATCTTAATAAAGAATTATTCAAACATCATGAAAATTTGTAGATATATTCTCTAGAATGTTAGAAACAAGTTTTTATAATATTATAAAGCACGTTAACAAAGTAAAATTTTGCGAAATTTCGTGCCAAATTTGATGAATTGAAATTTTTAACATTTAAGTTTGAATAAAAAATTACTTAAAAAATATTTTTAATAAAAATTTTGAAAAGAATTTTTATAAAGAAAATATTTATAATTTTTTAAATTATAAATATCTTCTTTATATTACAAAATATATTTTTATAAAATTCTTTTCAAAATTCTTATTAAAAATATTTTTAAGTAATTTTTTATTCCAACTTAAATGTTAAAAATTTTAATTCATCACATTTGACACGAAATTTCGCAAAATTTTACTTTGTTAACGTGCTTTGTGATATTATAAAAATTTGTTCATAACATTTTAGAGAATAATCTACAAATTTTCATGATGTTTGAATAATTTTTCATTAAGATATAAACAAAAAAATGTTCACTATTACTTTCACCAGAAACTGTAAATCAGTGTATATTCTTATTTTATAAATATTATATTTATATTTATATAATAATAAAAAATTCATTTATTATCTGTTTTATATTTATTAATAATGAGAAAATATATATATGAATTTACAAATAAAATTCTAAATATTATTAATTTATTTAGAATGGATAAAAAATAGATCAAACATATTGATTAATAAATAAAAATTAGAATATATACTAATTTTATTAAGAAAAAGAATAGGATAAAGCAAGATATATATTTATTTTAAAAATAAAAATTAGAACATGCACCAATTTATTCAGGAAATATGTTAAAAATTAACTGAATTATAAAAAAGAGCCAGAAATTTGAAACTAAATCAGAAGTTTACTGGATTAACTAATGAATTTGAATAAAATAAAATAAAATAAAATACAAAACTAACTGTTTAGAAAAGATTAAGAAAATATCAGGAAAAGAACAGATTGTTTTTTCTTTTCCTGAAATATTTGACAAAAAACATGAAATTATTTGGATTCTTTTTCTGATTAATATTTCCAGAGAATTGCCTGATTTTTTTAAATAAGGAAAGTAAGTTAAAGAATAAAAAAAATTAATAGAAAATAAACAAATTAAACAGATGAAAAAATAAAAAGTATTCTGTGATTAATTATTCCAGAATTGTTCCAGGAATTTGAGAGATGCCAGCAAAGTTCTAGAGCTATTAAAATAATAAAAAATAAAAACTGGAAATTTCAGGATTAAAAGAATTAGAACTCGATTTTTTATAGGGCGGAAGATATTGTATATGAATCAGCAATAAGACTTGGTTGAAGCTTTTGTAAAAGCAGACGCATGCAATTTTCTTATATAAAAACACTAATCACAACGCTATAAAGTCAAACTAGAATTATGATTTAATTCTTAATTCCGCTATAACAATGACAAAATTTTTCATGCATCTTTGCTACGTATTGCGTAACCTTATCATTATTGTTAAGGTGTACAAAAAAGAATTTCTCCGATAAACTACAAAGCAAATATTCTTGAAAAATAATGTCCGACGATAATAAATATCGATATATAAATATTTGCGATATCAAATTTCCTAAACACTGGAGTCTTGGTTTTAATAGTGAAACTAAAAAATTTTACTCTGCACAAATACCTGAATCTCCAAAATATCTACAAAATACTGAATTTCCATTTCCTGATGAAACATCCGACCACGATAAGCATCTAATAAAGCAAATGAAAGTAATACTTGACACGGAAACATATAACACAGGAGATGATTTCGACGTAGCCGAATCAATAGAAAAATGGTGTCAAAAAAACGACCAGACGCCCGAAAAAATTTATCAAATGCTGAAAAAGAATTTTTTGAATTCTCCCGCATACTGGTCATGTCTTCTAGGCTTTTTCGAACAGTGCAAACTTGTAGATATTGGAAATTTAAAAAAAGCATTACGTTTCTATATTATCGCGGCGGCTGGATCCGATGCCTTTGCGGCTAATCAAGTGGGTTTCATTCATCCACGGCATAAACAGCATTCCGAATACTGTACAAAGTTTTATAGAAAAGCAGCGAACGGGGGTCATGTACATGGATATTTGAATCTCACTAATAAGTATTATTTCGATGAACAGTTTAGAAATTATTTTATCTGCTTTTACCGTTCCGCTTGTAAAGGCTATTTAAATGCTTACGACGAAGTGAGTATATGTTATTCGAAAGGATGCGGTGTTAAAAAGGATGAACATATGGCATTTCGATGGAAGTTACGATTGAGGAATGCCAGGAGAGAATCACAAGTGAGATAGAGAAGTAATTTGAATTTAATAATTATACTTTTTGTATTCTTTGATTTTTAAATTTCTTATTATATTTATTGTACGCTAGCTAAAATAATATATTTTAGACTTCAATAGCTGTGGTTTTTTCATTCTATATAATTGTTTCAAAATGTCATTTATTATCGAATAAATTCCTATATTTATTATTTTTATTTTTATTAAAGATTCAAGGACTTGCAATTAAAAATTCCTTTAAGTGACAAGAGGGAATTAAGCTTTAATTTTGTAGTAAATTAGTCAAAACTGGATATACATGTAACAATAAAATTACGTACAGATGAAATTTTATATGAAAAATATCGAAGATTATTGTTATCGTTATAATGAGCAGAAATTTTATATGTTGCCGTATGAAATGGGAAATAGGAATTTATCGCTATAGCAAGATTTAATACATACTGTTATATGAAGGCATCGTTATATTCAGCTTTGACTGTAATTAAAAAAATAAACAAAATACGAAGCCAAATGTACGTTAGAATTATTTTGTGTTGGGTAATCGTTATTACGTATTTGAACTCGACACGTACGTATTTTAGAAAAGGATCCTGGTTTAGAAATACAGTGGTCTCACAAGAAATGGAACACGCGATTGGAATTTTTAGAATTTTATCTTCTCAATTATTTTATATTTAAATACGCATGATATTTTCTTGTAAAACTAGTTTGTCTCATTTTTTTTATGAACCAATAAAAGTTTTTTGAAACAGAATATTTGCATTTTTTGAATCATTATTCAAAAAGATAAAATAATTTCTTATACATGTACTTCAAACTTTATATTAATCATGTTTGTAAGGCGCTAGAAAAAAAGTTATTAATAATGTGTGCTTTTTTGCTTATAATGACAATTATCATAAACTACTAAACTTTTTTGAAACACACATGTCAGTGTATCCATTAAAAATAATTTCAGTAATCATTTTTTTAATGGCGCTTATTGCGCTTAGGTCAAGAACGGCGGATGTAATTACTTTATTTTAATAAATCAGTAATAATCACGTATTATTATTTCCAATAAAAGGTCTAAGGTCTAATAAAATAATGTGCTCAATACTTCGGAAGCGGCTACATTTCCATTTTTGGATGCGGACATATAACACTTGATCGCTTGATGCGAATCTTTTTCAGTCCCCCAGTTGAATTGATGACAATACCCAAGCATGCCTAAATAACGTAAAATTCCATTACATTAACATAAGAAATATACAAATATAATTCAATAAAAAAACATACATTCTCCATCTGCGTCTTGATCCTCTGCAGATTTTTTATAATAATAAAAAGCTTTTCTTTCATCTCTCTTCGTACCACATCCGTTCAAATAACAATTCCCACAATAATATTTTCCATCAGAGTTTCCACCCTCCGCTGACCGCTGATACCAATAAAAAGCTTTTTCCTTATCAGCCAAAACACCGATCCCCTCTTCGTAACATAACCCCAAACAACATTGTCCTTTCGAGTTTCCCCCCAGCGCCGATTTTTTATACCAATGAAACGCTTTGTTCATATCTTTTCCCGTGCCGATTCCTTTTTCATATGATAATCCCAGATTGGCTTGTCCGAGCGCACACCCACCTTCGGCACTTTTTTCAAACCAATAAAGTGATTTCTTTTCTTCTTTTTCTGTCCCTATACCACGCACGTAACAGTATCCGAGACTACATTGACCTCTCGTGAACCCAGAGACTGCGGATTTTTGCATCCAATAGAAACATTCTTTCTCATCTTTTCGAAATAACGATTTACTAACATGTTGTCGCATTCCTTTCTCTTCGTAGAAACAGAGACCAAGACAGAATTGACCGATCGGATTGTCTCTTTCTGCAGACTTTCTATATAGGCTGAACGCTTTTTGCATGTCTATTGATAACCCGATCCCGAATTCATAACAGTACGCTAGAAAGCATGTGTTTAGTCCATTGTTCAATTCTTCTTGCATGAATGTTATTAGGTTATTTTCACAACTCTCATTAGTACGAAGAAATTTTTTGATTGCTGAGACCAGAAATTTGTCCTTGTCGCCGCGAGTTATTCCTTTCTTAAATATATCTAAAAGATTTGATGCTAATCGACGATATTTATGGATCCATTCCTTTGAGTCAACAGTGAGAGTATATGAGTTGATATGTTTGATGTTATTTGCTGAGAGGATTTTTGGATTTGAATTGTTTATGTTCACAGATTTTTTTAGTACGAGATGATGATTGAATTGTTTTCGGCTACTAACGAGACCAAGATTAAGATTTCCGAGTGATCGTTGAACTTTTGTGGTGTTGTTGGTACATGTATTTGGTTTTACACTTTGATGGACGTGGTAATCACGTCGATGGTGACCGTAACTATAACTGTGGTGGTTATATGAAAATTGATTTGCAGACGACGGTGACGATTCACAAGCAGTTTCTTGTGCTATTTGTGATAAAGGCATATCGATATCGATAATTATGTATCGGTATACTTATATTTATTCTCTAAAAAATAAATCTTTTTATCATGAAGCTGTCAACTTTTATATCGTTATACCGATACAGTTGATCTTGTGACGAAAACAGTGTTACCTAAAATCCATACATGTAATACAAAGTACATGTACGTACAAATCGTTCGACCTTATCGTATCGTTATTGTTATGATATGATGGCTAAACTCGCGCATTCAGGGGCACATCACATTTTAAAAGAAACATACGTACGTATAATAATTCGACTTCTAGGTAGCGAAAAATTATAAAAACCATGCGACCAGTACATGTACAAAGGATTCGGTTTATTTACTACGTATCGGTATAACAATAACTGTGAAATGCACAAAATTTTTTAGAACAAATTTTTGTGCAGTATCTGCATACTGATTTTTAAATTTATGCAATGTTTAAGCCATACATGTCTCACTGAGAGCGACCAATCCAATCGCAAGATCATGCGCAAAATTTTGGTAATTTTGGCTGGATCTTGGATTTTCCACCATACTCGATGAAGGGAAAAAATCAATTTTATTATTAACGCATTTACTCTATCGCTATATGGTAAACACGCTATTAAACTAATTTTATAGAAGTTTAATATTTTGCTTCCGCTTGAATTTAACAGACCCTTCTTTTATGCATCATTAATTTTGTAATTCCAACTAAATCGATATACCGATACTGTAATTTCTATTCTAATCGTACGTAATTATAAATATTTCCAAGTTACACGAACTCGTCCTGCACTTCTTTTTGCGATTTTGTCAAACGCCGATGGTGAAAGATCCAAATTGCCGTACGGACACTCTGGACACTTTACAAAACATAGAAACCAAATCAAAATTAACAATGAATGAATGAATGAATGTAAAAACTAAAAAAAATTGAATCAAAAAATAAAATACTCACCATATCTACAAGCTTAGCAGTAACAGATCCTATTGGGCCCTTAACTCTGATTTTTTTACCACAGATTTTATTCTTGTTTGGGTTTGCAGGGTTTCCCCATTGTGGTTTGTTCTTTTTTTTTTGTTATGTATCTTTATTAGAATTATGAATTACAACAAACTCAGCTCAGTAGTAATCAATTATTGAAATTAACTTACAATAGCCACAACCATATCCGTATTCGCACTGTTTTTTCCACATGAACCTAACCCAGGATTATAATAAGTCGCTTCTCCAGAAAAAGTTTTTCCTCTTTTCGCGAGTACTGGAGAACCATCCACAAATATATTATTATTTCGAGATGATAATAACGTTGTCATTGATACTATCAGCACTATTGCAATTACTACTGATGCTCGTCCTTTTGTCATGTTACGTGACTCTTTGATTTTTGATGATAATTTTTTTTTAGTTAGAGGGTTGAATAAGAAGTAAAACTAATGTTGTTGCTTTTGTTGCAGTTGTTTACGTGCATTCAACTTTTTGATGTGATGATAAAGTGAGGAAATATTAAATGTATATTTCGAAATGAAGTAATAATAATCGTAAAAAATATTTTTTCTCTATATGATCTAATACAAAATATAAAATAAATCGAATCGCGAATTTCTCTTTCTTTTCTTTTATTAAAGAATAAAAATTTTTGGCGCAAAAGTGTGTACGTATAAATCAATGTATCAAAAAAATAACATCAGAAATCTTTTTTGCTTTATTACTATCACTTTACGATTGCAAGTTAACCAACTACCTTTCCATAAGCTTTTGGAAAAAGAAAAGGTGAGAAATTTGTTAGTATCCAAAGAAACCATTTTATAATGGTCTGTGAGGTGTGTGTCTGTTTGTCATACTTTCATAAACAGATATTAGAAACAAGTAAATGTACATGCTACGTTCGTTTCGTTTGTTAACGTTAATAAGGAGCCAATATAATTACATGTACGTAATTAATTAATTGATTCGTTTCTGTAGATGATTTTAATAAATTTATTTCTTATTATGCATATACGTACATAAACTAACGTATTTTGTTGTTCTTTCGTTATACTTTATAAGGTAATAATTGCAGTAGATCTTTTCTCAATTATAAAAACCGGAATTGAACGAAAACATCTCGCATACTACCAAACACTCGACCCGATCCCCGTAAATCATTCTACTGGAACTGTAGTGCTGCGCTATCTACGCACGAAAAAAAATGTGCACGAAACGATCATGTGGTATCGTAAAGGAATGGCTGTTGGCGGATTTCGGGCTGCAATATGGTTTTGTAGAGCTAGAAAAGCTGGGTTTTAGTGTATTGTTTGGTTAAAATCACATACATGATGGAATGAATCGATCAACTATAGCTAAACCTAGTCAACTATAATCAACCGATTAGCATAGCTATATTACATAACTAAGGATCCATCAAGCAATGCCCGGAGAAAAATCCCCCGGGCGCCATTTAGTTCCTATTAATCCGGATCCCACCTAAACGCTCTATTTCCAAATTCCTTTTAATGTATCCACAATAACTGCACGTTTTGCTTGTGTATGCTTCTGACACCGATGTTATAACAATCTTACCAAATTCTTCTATCTTATTTACTGTCCTATTATTAAGTCTTCTTGTCGGCGTCGTGACATTTGTGTGCTATCAAATGTCGGCAATACTATTATATCAAAAGTACGAGCCAACCACAATGCAGTTTTTTTGTGTACTTCATCTACTAAATTTTGAATGCATTTTCTTAAGCGAGCTTGGGCTCTAGTGGTGCGTGAAATAAGTGCATCCGGAGAAAGACAGAGGCATGTACGGTTAATATCATTGTCGCCGAAATTGCCATAGCTGACTGCATGTGAGAAAAGTTCGGACACCAGGATCAATGGTTGCAACATGGATTTCTTCCGCTTGATTCTCACAGATAGACTTTCCATACACCCACACAAATGTCCAATGTCCTAATTTTCTCTCGTATATTAATTATATTAATTTCGAGTCCATTGTAACTTTTCTAGTATCATTCGGCCAACAATGATTGTATCTTCGAAATTCGTGATGAAATGATGGCTTTGCTAACCTTTATAACGTGGATGATCCGGATCACTAGCAAGAAGAACCTTATTATGTAATAGCCTTGGGTAAAAAATGAATTAGTACATGGCAGTACTGAGCACGAATGGTAGTTTGGCTGTCATCCTTTTTTAGAAGCAGAATGAAGTATGTTGTAAGGGTCTTGACTTTTTCGATTTCTTGCAATGACTTCATCTCTGACTTGAAATAGCATGATCAAGCACCTCATATGGCACCTTTCCATAAACGCCCATTCCTTTGTGTATCTAATTTTCAACCGAAGAAGCACTCTGAAAAAAAACTGCTTTGTAGTTCTTATAATGCTGACGGTAATTGATTACTACCATGCCATGTTATAAACCAATCTAGCACAACCCGTCCACTGTCGAAGCAAGATCTTCTGAGAAGAATTGGGATACAGTCGTACTTTCAGTGATCGTGTCAAATCTGCTTTCTTTGCTCTCTTGACCCGTCGCGTTGTTTGCACTTTCTTCCTGCGTTTTTTGCTTTTTGTCTTGTTCCCGTTCTCATCAGTATCTAAAAAATGAGTGATTTAATTTGGTTTAGGTGAAAGAAAGTGCAAATAAATAATTTATCTAACATATTTCTTTCCAAATAGTCAGCAGATGAAGACGGTGTTAATGACAGGATATCCTGAGTTAGTTCCCATTCATCCGTTGGATTGTCATTTGAGAGAACCACGAGCCTTGTGCTATTAATGTGGAAGATGAACTCGATGAGGTCGAAGGCGAACTATCTCTGTGGATAACCACAATCTCCTTGACCAATCCGCAACTCGACCGTTCCAATAGGGAACGCAGTCCGGGTTTCTTGAGGATAATGCCGGAGTTGATATTTCTGATGATTCTACCACCACCACCACCTCCTTGGCGTCCTAATGTGAATGCTTTGTTTACGCGAGAGGCTCCAGCCAGAAACAGAAAGATCTTGAAAGGCAGAAATGGTATCTCCTCTCACAATTCCCAAATCATCACCTCATCTCCGCTGTGGTTTCTGAGCATGGATTCGACATTATAGGCTATTTGTCCCAGGGAAGTCTAGAAGCGTGTATCTTGCCCTCTCTATTCCAGTGCCGAAGTGTGCTGTGTAAAGGGACAATAATACAAAAGGTAAACTATTTTTATGTAAAAAAGGGGGAAAAGGAAACTTCTCTTCTTACTCTTATTTGAGTAAGAAAGTTGTGAAAATGGTATTTTTTAAATGCTAGAAAAGTTTTTTCCACAACAATACTACTATTGCTGCTTCTACAAGTATATGAGAATACTAATTATAATAACAATGAAATAATGGATAATATGTGGCAGCTAATATGAACAGTCACCACAGAAAGTAACGCCCGATTTTTTTAAAAATAAAATTTTAGATATATTCATTTTATTTCATTTCTGCTTTATATACATAAAATTTTTTTATCATTAACTAATACATTACCCACCCTCTATATGGCTTCGACTCCTTACGGCACGAGCTCCCAAACCAACACATTAAATTTTGACTACACTTCCTTCAGAGCAGGCTTGAGATTATTCCCAGTTTTTGAAAAGCTTTTACACTTTAGAATATTGGTTTCTAGATGTTTTCTATGAAGCTAGGTCTGTGAGAATACGTTAATTGGTTCATGATCATTGAATCTATTTCGTGATCTTTTTAGAATTAGGATTAGGGTTCAGCTGAAACGCCATATTTTTTCAAATTAATGAGCATAATAGATTATGAAAAAGGATGCAATTACCTTAAAGAATCTTCGGGTAAATTTTACAAAGATTTTTTGTTGAAAATGTCACGAAATGGCTTAGGTTGTCTTTTTTTTGGCTTCTTGGAAATGTGCATTTTTTTTCTTGCTTGTTAAGAGCTTGTGACCTTCCAGACCCTGGTAAATTTTCGTTTTTCCTATTTCTCTTGTATTCGGCAAGAGACCATTACCCCGTCATCGGGTCACGCCACTCAAAATCCCAATCAAATTACCATTTTACCCTCGTCAAAGTCGGTCAACTGGAGGCAGTGTGTGTTATATTTATAGCCAACAAATTTCGCCCAGTGTATGTTTAAAGGTCGAGAAAAGAAATATTATGATATTGCACATCCAAATCGGGCGTTACTTTCTGTGGTGACTGTACATATATGCTAGGTGGTTGAAATGACAGAAATGCGAGACGGGAACAGCGATTCCTGGAAAAGTTTATTGTTTTTCTGGGATTCTTCTGCCAGCTGTTGGTGCGTAATCGGTGAAGAATGAAGTAGAGAGTGAAATAAAAACAGAACACCCTCTTTTTTAAATTTTTGTTGTGTCTGTTGTGTAAGGGGTTATCGTTGTTTGTTGTTTGGTGGTGTTGGTTATGCAGAGGCAGAGGGAAAGAGGAGTTATTTATTGTGTTGTAGAAGGTTAATAATTTGATTTATTGATTGATTAATGTGAACTCAAACGAATTTATGTTGAATTGTCTAGTGGAAACAAAGATATCGACAGCCTAATTGAATGCAATAACGATAATATTGATAAAACAAGATCTTTCGAATGGATCATTTATAAGCTTTTTAATAATACGTATTACGTAATATTTGAAGAAGTATCTTCAATGCTTAATTGTCCAACTTGCTTCAAGCCAATGGTAAATTGTATGTTAAAATAGTGCTTTGTTCCCTTTAGTAGTGACCAACTCACTGTGAATATCGGGAGCATTTTTAGGGTTTATCAGCAATTTCTGCGCATTCTTTTATCGATATCTATTCTCGTTAGAACCATTCAACTTTGTGATATTCATTACATTCATAGCGATAGCAATTGCAATGTTTTTGTCATTTTTGGTACACCCTTTGCGGTAGCCAGATAGGCATTCATTATAAGCATGAGTATTAGAATTCATCTTTAAATTCAGTGTTTTAATTAAAACTTTGAAATGATGGTAATAAAAGTGTTTGTAAAATACAATTGATAGGCAAAAATCCGGTTTTTTTTATTTCCGGAAATCCGTGTCACCGCATAGTTTATTTTACGTGTACAAATTTAATTAGTCAATTGAAATTCTCAATAAATGTGAATTTAGAGAAATGCAATCCTCGCCATAACAGAAAACGGATGGTTGTCTCATTTCCATTCTTATAGGCACGACGCAAATACTTGAAACCTTCGTGCAAATCACGTGATACGCCACGTCCACTCCAACACATCGCGCCAAGGGTGAACTGCCCATCAGAATTCTCCAGTTGTGCTGACTTACGATACCAATACGCAGCTTTATATAGATCAACTTTACCACCATACCCTTTTGAATAACATCTCGCCAATGAATTCGCGCCGCTAGCTTCACCACCTTCAGCAGCGATACGGTACCATATGCGTGATTCTGCTTCGTTTCTTTGGGTACCAATTCCTCGACCAAGACAAAGCCCGACTGCGAACTTCCCAGCCATGTTTCTCGGAGCGTATGCCGATTTCCGGTACCATTGAAATGCAGCTTTATCATCTTTTTTGGTGCCGATCTGGTTGTAGTAACAGAATCCGAGATTGTATTCACCCAATGGGAATCCGGATTCGGCGGATTTCTTTGCCCAGAGGAAAGCTTTATGCTCGTTTTTTTCCGTTCCGGTGGCAGTTCGATAACATCTCGACACGAAGTTTTGTGCGTATTTGTCATTATGAAGTGCCACTTCTTTATATAAATTGAAAGCTGAATTCAACTTCGGTGTTGTTCCAATTCCATACTCGTAGCAGAAACCTAGCAATGATTTGTTTCCTGTTGTTTCCGAGACACCACCACCATCATCAGTAGCCGTTTTTTTTATTGTATTTTCTAGATATTGAACTAGGTCTGATGGTGGGATAAAAATTTGTTGTAGGAAGTTTGGAAATTGTGATACCATCTTTTTTATAGATACCCCAAGGTCAAGGCTCTCGAAAAAATAAGTCTTGATGTGCGTTATTGGAATTATTGTTGGTTGTAATTGTTGTAGTTGTGGTTCATGATGATTATTAGACTTTATTCCGAATGGCAATGATGTCGAAGACAAGGACGAAGACGATAAAAATTCGTTCTGTTGAAAAAATTCTGTAGTCTCACTGAAACTTTCGTCTAATATTTGTTGAGAAATTTCTCTCGCCATAATTTTTTCTAGTAAATTAAGATTGTTTTCTTAATTTTCAAGTAAAAACATCAAATAATGGATGACCAGGATGATTATGATGATTTTATTGGATGAAGATCCTCATGGGAAACAGGATTGTCACGAATCCGATTCATACGTACGTATATAGTCTGATGTTCAAACATAAATTTTGACAATACCGATACTAATACTCTAACGCTAATACTAATATATATATAAACCAAATATAAATATTCTATCGCTATGACATCATCCCAGATTCCCAATTATTTGTATAGATATTTTAAAAAACTAACTCTAAAGTCCAGACATCACGAAAATAAATAAAGAAAAATTAACTTATGTGGATTGATAATGTGAAATTGCGTGATGCAAATACCTTCTTCCAGTTTTCCTAGCCCAACGGAACCCACAATGATAATCCAAAAAAGTTCCATTTCCCTCAAAATAGCAAGTAGCAATCACACGTGCGGCTCTCGGATTTCCACTTTCGTGCGCTTTCATGTACCAATAAAAAGCTTGTCGATAATCACGGGAACAAGCCAACGCAAAATAATAATAATGACCTAGTGTTCGCTGGCCGCATATATTACCGTTCATCGCCGACCTTCGAAACCATTCGAATCCGGCGTTACGGTCTTTAATCGTGCCTGTCCCATAGTGGTAGCAATATCCGAGTTGATTTTGTCCAAGTGCATCATTAGATTCAGCGGATACTTTATAGTGTTCGAATGCGAGTTCGTAGTTAACTGGTGTGCCGATACCGTAGTAATAAAATATTCCGAGGATGCATGCATATTTTTCGTTTTTGGTAACGGTGTGGTTTTCTTGTTTGTGGTCAAGTACATGTAGTAGTTGGAATATTTGTTTGCGGGTTAGATTTTTTTTGGGAAGCCAGTTGTCTATCGCGGTGAGTAGATATTCGTCGGACCCCCCAGGGTCTGGTACTGAGTAAAATATTTCGTAAAGTTCTTCAAGTGTTTCCATATTATTTTTTTTTAACTTGTAATGAGATTGTAAAAAAATTATTTATAACAATTACATGTAGAACAAAATACGTACGTAGGTATGTAACATTGATTCCCTTGATTACCATTTTAAAGAATAATTATCGTTGTGTAGCTCGAAATTTTGTGTAATACATGTAGTAAACTGAACTGTTACCATTACGGAAAAAATTAAATGCAAAGAAACATCTTTTTCCGATTACTCTGGTCAAATGGAAAATTTTATTTATTTTATTTATTTATTATCATTGATCACGTTAAGAAAACACTCACTTTACTGCCTGTGGCAGTTTGACAAGTTAAGAACAGCAATTTATATCATGCTTCCTTGATTTATTTTTTGATAAGTGCGAATTGTATCTAGTATATAGAATTCCTTAAAATATCTACGTTTCTCTTAAACAAATCTGTGAATTCCAACTATAATTGGAAAGTTTGTAAGCAAACTTCAAAAATATATAAACTAATAGAAAATGGCTGTTTGGTTTCAGATATTGTATGTTGACATTTGGCAAGTGGTGAAAATGTTTATTAATCCTATCAGCTATAGAAGTAATAGTATACACTCTTTTTAGAATTCAGCATTTTGTTGTAAACAAAGAAAAAACAAAACAAAAGGCGTCTTTTATTTTTACCATTTTCACTTACACCCATTCAATTCCAAAAGCACCAAGGATGTCGGAAACACAAATAAGAGTCGCGTTATTCGAAAAAAAATTCAGTCCCGATGAAATATCTTCACCACTTTCCTCTTCTTTCGCTTCACCTTCCACAAATATATGGCGAAACTTACAACCAGTTGAATCCCTTCACGGCCCTCAATTTTGGCCAACTTCCAAACCGTTAGCACGAAAAGCTTCGGATGTCGCGTCCGAGCATAGTGGTTCGCGAAAGCAGATTAAAAGATTTTTTACTAAAATTTGGAAAAAAGTTAATTCGGGTGATATTTTGGCAAAGAAAAGGAGTAGCTCGTCGACAGAAAAGAGTGAATATTCTGATAATGATGAAACAGAGGAAGAAAGCTTGATGGAGGGAATCGATATATCAAGATTTCGAGATGATTTACAAGAAGGATCAACACGGCCTCGAGAAAATAGCATACAATGTAGCAATACTGAAACAAAACGCGTTGAAGAAGCACACAAATCCAAGAAACAAAATTCGATAAAAAACATTACACCGTTTCTAATTACAGATGATCTATACATATTAACTTCGTTAATAGGATTCACACCGAATAAAAAAGCAATCTCTCGTTCTCACACAATTTCATATTCTCCACGACGTAATCTGAATCCACGATGGACACCAGACGAGCGAATTGCACGACGCGTGCAAAATGTTCTTTTTCATATTCACGTATATTGGAACTGGCCACTCGAATTTCATATTGCTTTACCACGAGATATATCATTTTCTGTTTTCAAATATACAATGGGAAGAATTCTCGACCAAGAAATCCCCTCAGATTTTCGTGTCTTGTATCATACAAAGCGATACGGAAATGATGACGTGATGAGAGTTGGCGATGAACGAGATGATGTATTATTAGAGTATTTATTGAGGCGTGAAAAGATACGTGTCGTGGATAATGATGGGATTTGGAATGTGGGGATGTTGATTTGGCGAAATGATGTGGAGGTTACATTATTCTCGAAATCTCTCTTAAAAAAAAAGCATTGATTTTATTTATTGTATTGACATATCAAATAGATACGTATTAGACATGTATAATGATCAAATTAGAAGCTACTCTCTTTCCTAGATATAATTATCAGTATTCTATTATCATTATCGTTATTTATTTGCTACGTTGAAAATCAGTTTATTTTAGTTATATATATACGCACACTATGATTTTGCAAAAATGCATGTGTGTCAAAGTGTAGTGATAGTAGCCATATATTATATAGTAATGTGGTAAATTTATCGAATAGAGTGTTGGATTGTTGAAAAATAGAAGCCTAATTGTTTTAAAAATAGACATAACGATAACGAATAAGGGATTTTTTTAATTTTATCAAACATACCTTGAGTTCAAGAACTCCGTGGTTGAAACGTGCTTGAAATTTGTTAGCGTCAACCCTTGCTGGTAGATACAATCATGTTTCAAATAGAAATATTCAATTACCGAGAACTTGCCATGGCGTCGTTCACGGATAACACTAGACTCAGTTTCATGTTGGTCTTCTTTTCGAGTTTCACCACTGCATAAGAAATAGCAATTTGTCAATGCGTTGGTTTATGTTTAATAAATTGAATTGATAATACTGACCTGATGACTAAATCATCCTCTTGGAGGTTGAATAATCAAATAAATTATATGATGTATATAATTACCTTTCAAGTTTTCCTTTGGAATACCTGGAAGGTCGACTAGATAATAATCTCACAGTTGAAATTTGTGCAAAGTGAATATAAAATAATAACGATAAAAACGATTATTACGTACCCTGAACAACAATCTCATTGCTCGGAGTACCATTGTTTAATACTTTTCTGCGCAATTCCAACCATAAACAGCCGGCGAGAAACTCGTCCGATCACGGCCAGTGAGAGCATATCCATGATTATAGTTAAAGAAATCACTAAAGCATTCAAAAGAAACCAACGTTATACGTAGTCGAAAAGGGACATTGTGAAAGCTATAGAGAATATTTGTTCAGTTATCGAGTTGGTGATCACTTTTTTACATTCAGAAGTAAAAACGATGTGGGAATGTCTTTATTCATAACAATATTCCCATGATATGACGAACTTCAGTTCATGGGAAACTTATTTCGACTAAATGATAGGTACGTACTGTTGATCTAATCAAATTTTCTAACGTTGTTTACTTGTTCATAGCATTGTCCAGTCATATTCAATACAAAGGCATGTGTACCTTTAAGGAACCTAAATTCATCCGTCTTTAACGTTAACGTTAACGTTAATTCTCACAATTCTTATTTATCCATATCAATCGATATACATGTATCGAGAATTGCAGCATAAGAAATTTGACCTCAACACAGTCACAACCTCTTTAAAGTCCCACCTTTTATGTTCCCGAGTGTTGTAGAATTATTTTGAGATGAGTTTCAGTAAGAATATAAAATATCATGTAAAGAAAAATAAACAGCAAAGCTTTGAATTATTTGATGACATGAAATAAGTGATGGAATGGATATCAAGGAGAGGATATAGTGGTGTTGGATGATTATTATGTAGTAACAAAGTGAAGACCAAGAAAATTGGTTAATAATCAAAACAGTCTTCTGTTCCTTCTTTATTCTCTGACAATTTATGGCTAGGTGAATTTTGTCTGCGAGAGTGAAAACCTCTTGGTAATTTAGGCAAGCCATAGCCATCTTTCAGAGCTCTTCGAATTGTCTAATGTAGAATTGATAGAATTTGATCAGTCAAAGCAAGCAGTGTTTTAAATTATTGTCCATTAAAGAGTCATTTGAGTATTTTTATACCAATATAATGAATAATATGACAAGATTTTATATCTAAATACTTTCTAATATTATTATATTACGAATCATAAAAATAACACAAACTATAAAAGGTAAGTATTTTATAACATTTAATGCATATACTTTTTTATGAAAAGCCAATACTAGTTATTGACTTTGGTAAGCATTTCATAATTTCATGTATAATTGACTCAATTATTTTTTCAAAGTCTTATATAAAGCGATTATTATCTGCGTTTTCCTTTAGCAAGGATGAACCTAATTTAAATACTCTCTTAATTCGATTTACAGCATTATTTTGTTCAGGACATTGTTGTTAATTATCTGTTGAAATCTCTTATCTCATTATTTTGTATGAATTTACTCCAAGAATTATTATTTATATTGATCTGTTAAAGATATTCATATTAAAAAAAATTAATGAATAATTATATCAGCATTTTGTAAAAACAAAATAAAAAAGAAGTCAGAATCCGAATTTATTTTCCTTATAACAAGATATTTGCAAAGTGAAAAATAACTATTAGAAATGCAAGACATGAACATGTTCAAGTTTCAAATTTTGTTTTATATTTTTTTTCTTGCTGATTAATTTTTGACTGAGCTCTAATTACTCTTGTTTAAAAGTGTTTTTACCAAATGGAAAATATATGATCATTTAGATAAAGTATCACTATATCTGTCATATATTTAATTAATTATTATATTAATATTTGAGTGAATTGATTCAATCGTGAATGATTATAATTATATTTATAATTGTATTTGAGTACTCTTCAATAAGACTCAGTAATTATTGTTGTCTGAGCAATTGGTATTACATTAATATATGAAACATAAACAAATAATTATTAATTTTTGTGATTATACTAATTATATCAAAGATATTCTTATACTGCAACATACTTTTTTGCTAATAATATAATGAATCTATTTGTATTAAAGATATCAAAGAATATAAGAGAATATATTTTTATTATTTGTAATATATTAATATATTTTTAATTTTTTCTTTAGAATATTTGCAAGTTTCTTGATTTTTAGAAAATTATATTGAATTAATAAAAATAAATTATCAGTAAGTTTTACTAAATTTTTTAGCTATATACTAACTTTTATAAAATTTTTGTTCTTTTATCATTTTTTTATAGTATACTATAAATAAAATAGTATATTTGATATTCATGATCAAGCTTTTTGTATAATAATTATATTTTTAGTATTTTTATTTAGTAATACAACAATTAACTAAATACTTTTATTTTTATTTTATAATACTTTAAAGAATTTTTATAGAATATCAAAATATATTTGTATTATATTTGTCAAATTAAATTATTAATTTTCTAATATAACAAAAGAATTTAAATAAAGATATACAAAAAATGAGCTATATTATTACAATTATTTATTATAGCAAATAATTTAAACTTTTGCTGATTTGTTTTAAATATCAAATTTTCAATAAGTTCAGTAATATTTTTACTTTTTATATTATTTAGAAAAGATGTGACAAATTTAAAACTTTAAATAAAATTATTTTTAATATAAATATTATTTTAAATTCTTAATTTTGAAGTATACTTTGCTCAATAAAGTTTTTGATTAATTTTAATTAATTAATTATATATATATTATTATATTAAAAATTATACAATCCAATAATATACTTGTTAATAAGTATATATTTTTTATTTATTAAAATTAATATTTTTTATATTTTGGTATTTTTCAGAAAATTAGCTTTATAATATATACATCTTTACACTATATTACTGAAAATTAAAAAAAAATATAGTAAAATTAACATTATTACTTTATATTAAAATTTGTTATTTTATTAATAAATATTTTTTATTTT